TATTCTATTTTTTGTTAAAATCAACTTTAAACATATACTTTTCAAAAACCTATTTCAGACATGCTGAGAAACTGTAAAAAAATCACATTATAAACATCTCTAGCCAAGACTTTTGAGCTCTGAAGCTTATAGACACAGGGGTTGGCTACACATAGGTGAATGAGACATTCTGAAATTTTATTTGGTTTGGTTACTAAAGTGTTAGAACTTTGGAGTGACACTCTTTTTTTGAAAGTCAGTGGCCTATACAACGAATATTGATGAGATAGGTGTCCCCACACCTGTATTAGTTTGCATACTGTCAATGACCCATCAGTCTGGAATGTCACTGCACCCCACACCCATCACTTTCAGTTTGAAACGCAAGAAAAGTAGCAACAATAAAATCCTTTTCACAGTTTATTGGTAGCTGGAATGAGAAATGAAAAACTGTGAGCAGTCGCTACAGAAAGCGATAAATATGATGCAGTGCCTATTTAGAGTTAATGGAAATAAAATAATTCACTATTATTAACGCTCTGGGGATGAGGGCATCGTCGACCGCGTATCTTTCTTGTGTATTTCAGTTTATATCTCGCTGAAATCATTATGTAGAATCATGAAAAAAACACTAAATCCGTAATCTGACGTCTTTTCAACTTCCATTGTCGGAAGTACAGTGGTACCTCAGTTGTCGAACTCATTAGAACTCGAATTTCTTAAAAGTCGAACCAACCAGTTTGAAAAAAAATTACCTAGAGCTCGATCTGAATCTCAGAAGTCAAACCGTGAACGCCGACCTAAGATAAGTTGTACACGCGGGGAAATGAGTCACGTGGCACATCTCTCAGCGGAAACAAAGGGTAAAGCTTCAGTCTCAGCCTTGCATTAGCTGCGATACATATATTTAGACAGTAAAAATACTGTCCATCACCGTCTAAATATAACAGTAATTATTATTATAAAATAAAATACAATTAAAAATAAAGATTTCTTATTCATTATTTTAATATTAATAATAAACCATTAATACGTTTAATTATAATAATATTGTAGTGCCGAGCCGGACGGAAGGAAGACAAAGGCGCTGACGTCATGGTATCGCGGAATACGGGGTTTAATTACAGGTAGGGCAGGCAAAACACAGACGGACAATACAATGACCGGACTGGGGAAACAAACTGAAACGCGGACGAAATACAGAGGGCTAATGAAAACAACTAGAAACAGTTGATCACAGAAGGATTCCACATGGGGTTAACGAGGGGGTGTGGCACACAGAAGGAGCAGACGATCTGGGCAGGACACATTGTTTGGATACATTTATTTTCTTACTTTACAGATTACTGTTTTGATAAATGTGCCTAGATGTGTTTAGTACAGTATATGCTCTTCTTGTTTTATCCGGTTTAAATGTTTAAATGCTAAAAAAAAACATATTTAGGTGTAATTTTTTGGGGCCGGTAATGGTAATGGTATTCCATTATTTCTTATGGGGAAAATTCGATCACAACTCTTTTAGGATTCGATTCGGAGTTCTGAACATTTGAGTTCTGAGGTACCACTGTATATGTGTGTGTGTGTGTGTGTGTGTATGTATGTATATATATATATACTCACCTAAAGGATTATTAGGAACACCATACTAATACGGTGTTTGACCCCCTTTCGCCTTCAGAACTGCCTTAATTCTATGTGGCATTGATTCAACAAGGTGCTGAAAGCATTCTTTAGAAATGTTGGCCCATATTGATAGGATAGCATCTTGCAGTTGATGGAGATTTGTGGGATGCACATCCAGGGCACGAAGCTCCCGTTCCACCACATCCCAAAGATGCTCTATTGGGTTGAGATCTGGTGACTGTGGGGGCCATTTTAGTACAGTGAACTCATTGTCATGTTGAAGAAACCAATTTGAAATGATTCCAGCTTTGTGACATGGTGCATTATCCTGCTGGAAGTAGCCATCAGAGGATGGGTACATGGTGGTCATAAAGGGATGGACATGGTCAGAAACAATGCTCAGGTAGGCCGTGGCATTTAAACGATGCCCAATTGGCACTATGGGGCCTAAAGTGTGCCAAGAAAACATCCCCCACACCATTACACCACCACCACCAGCCTGCACAGTGGTAACAAGGCATGATGGATCCATGTTCTCATTCTGTTTACGCCAAATTCTGACTCTACCATTTGAATGTCTCAACAGAAATCGAGACTCATCAGACCAGGCAACATTTTTCCAGTCTTCAACTGTCCAATTTTGGTGAGCTCGTGCAAATTGTAGCCTCTTTTTCCTATTTGTAGTGGAGATGAGTGGTACCCGGTGGGGTCTTCTGCTGTTGTAGCCCATCCGCCTCAAGGTTGTGCGTGTTGTAGCTTCACAAATGCTTTGCTGCATATGAAGTGGACGTTTGTGTAGAGTGGATGTATTTCACACTGTTGTCATGCATGCTAGCTTGTTGCGCATTGATGCATGATGCACCTAAAACAGGTCTTTGCAGATATGTGGTGTTTAGGAACCGATAAGCATAACCAAAATAAGAAAAAAAATATTGGGTACCCAGTACTTTCTTATCCGTTCTAATTTGGAACCTACTTTCAGTTCCCAACCCTAATCTTGACCCAAACAAGCTTTAGTAGGAACGGTCGATTTCCAAGATTTTGGTCGAGGTACAATTTGATAAAAATTTGACATTCCCATTCGACATCCGAGTTGGTCAAGTTAAGAGGCGTTCGAGTTCCAAGGTTCTACTCTATTATGTATTCATATATAATCTGTTTCAATCGAACCATTAACGCAAACGTTCATACACACACCTGCAAAGATACAAGTTACAATACTTTATTCTTTTTTGGAACAACAAATGAAAAACAAAGAGTGAGAGCACCAGCGGAATGCTGGGAAGATGCTCAGACCTCAGGAGGGGCCCAGGGCCCGGCCCCACTCTGCCCAGCCTGGTTCAGGCCCTCAAAGTAGGTCTGCTCGATGCGGTGCACGAAGGTCAGCAGGTTGCTGTAGGTCTTGACCTTGTCACTGAGCTCGTTGCTGGTCAGCTGGGTGGTAAGGATAGTGAAAAGGTGTCCAAAGACCAGGGCATCCAGCTCAGTGGGCCTGGGGGGGGTGGGATTGGCTCATCACATGAGACTGAAACCGCCACTATGAGAGCAACACTTGTCACTGCTCCTTCAACAGCTCCTGTGCATGTGCAAGCCCCTCCCCCATGCTCCCACACTTCAAACAATCCCAGAGACCCACAGGCATAGAGATAAACCAGGGTCAGAATCCAAGGCCATGACCAACCTAAGAGATGTCCCTTATGTCATCTGCAGCTACACTCCCCCAATGAGCAACCTCCTGTGCTCCCTTCCTTCAGAGCCACTGGAAACTTACTGTCTGTTAAAGAAGTACATCTGTGTGCCGAGTCTCTGCGAGAGTGCCTGGCAGCACTGGGCCACATCCTCATACACCTGCGGGACAGACAGGCTAAGAACACAGGGTCACAGATTCACTAGCCCCCAGAAAGATCCGAGGAATGGCGGGACAGAGACAGACAAGGGGACACAGACTCCCGAGTATGGGCAGAGCACAGAGGTGGACACAGGGATGTGGTCTCATTCTGCCTCTGGGAAGCTCCAAGGAGGTGTGGGACATAGAGATGGACATGGTCATCACACACAGGCACACAGACAGACACATGGACACGCAGACAGACACACAGATACACAGACAGATAGAAAGATGGACGTGAAAACAAAAGCATGGACTCACACCTGCTCCAGGGTCTTCTCTGCCCAACCGACGGCACTCATCTTACGCCGCACCTCCCACTGCTTCTGATAGGCCAGGATGTGTTTCAATGGCCAAGGATAGGGACTGCTGTACCGAGGCCTGGTGATCTGCACATGAGCCCAGTGGGAGGGTCAGCATCTAACCCATGGGGGCTGATAGGCTGCCCTTTTAAGGCCCATATCTACAAGGATGCTCACCTCTGCTGCTGTGGTCTCGTCACACCACTGGATGTACAGCTGCAAGATGGGAAGACGGCTAGGATGAGGGAGAGGTGGGGTGATGGAGGAAGAGACCCTGATGGGGGTTCAGTACCTCTGCAGTCAGCAACATGTTATTCATCAGCTCCATATAGGCTTTCATCTCCGCCCTCTGAACGTCATCCAGCACATCACTCAGGGAGTGACCCTGGGGAACAGGAAGAAGTCATCAGCCACATGGCATCCAGGGCCATCCTCCTCACCTCCCCCACCCTCCCCAGATAGCCTGCCAGCTCACCTTAGCCTTCGTGAACTGAATGATGGGCCCCAGCTCCGACACAACCTGGTTTCCCACGTGGATGAAGGGCACTTTGCCTTGAGCAAAAACAGCAAGCAGAAAGCAAAGAATGACCAGGACAGAGTGACAGCAACCCTGATGATCAAGAAGCTCCAAAGTAACACTCAGACTGAAGTGAACATCACACTGAGGCCAGAGAATAATCTGGCCTAGCGAGCTGAGCAGGGAGACCTGGCAAGTCGCCCAGGGCGTGTGCAGCTGCACTGAGTGTCGTTCTCAGCTAACTGTCCCTTCTTAACACACTATGATGACAGACTGGCCCCGCCAGAGCGTGACGGGCCGTTGCTCATGGTCTGTCTAGCACAAGCCAGCACAGCACAAGTGGCAGTTTAAGGGATACTATTAAACCAAGTAAGGGCAATTCAGATATTTATCGTTTTCCATCGTCAGTGACGATAATTGGAACCACTTGCTTTCTGCCCTTTATGACAAATACGGCAAAGTGTTATTGTATACTGGGTACAAAACCGGCACTTCACTGCAACCAAATCAAAAGTGACAACTGCACTAAAAACTAAAATTACACAAATGTGTGTGGATTTTGTTTGTTCTGCCTTTTGATACCATGTCTGGTGTTCCTTGAATTATCACAGCAATTGGAGAGGGAGTGAAGATTTGTTGAGGCTGCAGGTTGAGGCTGCATGTTTGTTTTTATTCGTAACCTAAAATTAAGCATAGTCAAATAAAACCTATTTTTCCTTTTGCGGATGGGAGTGGGAGACTTTATAATTGCGAGCGGGAGTGGGACTAAATATTATAAGCTTCTGAGGGAACAGGAAGGAGTGTGACAGAATCTTGCAGGGCGGGTGGAAGTGGGGTTTCAAATTCCATCCCATGCAAATGCAGCAGTAACCCAATTCACAGATTTTTCAAAAATTTAAGTTATATTGTAGGGACTTAAAAAATGTTTCCACAAGCCAAAAAGTAACAAGCTTTACCACATTTGGGGGGTATTTTCCGTATGACGCTTAAATCATTCGAGATCAGATGCCTCATCTTGGATGAGTTAATGTTAGTGAAACTCATCCGGGATAAGTAGGTTTTTCAAACACAGCTGTGTAGTAGATTAGTCTAGCTGGATCCATTCAACTGAGATGATTGTGCGTGCCCACGCTGCTTGAAAAGCCCATATATTTTGAGTCTAGAAAACGTGATCAGCAGTCTCTCATGAGTAGGACCTTTTATTAGAGGGCTTCAAAGAATTCAAAGATTTAACATGTACTAAAGGAAACATCAAAAGTGGCCCAAACCAGAAAAGATGGGTGGCAAAAAGTGTCTGACAAATTAAAGTAGTTTTTAGTTATTGCATTTATCACTTGAATGTAATATTATGTTTCCAATGTTTCATTATTATCTTATTGTCATAATTACAGATCAAATACAAGCACAATCATGCTGGACACGGGAACGAGTTAAAGAGAAGTACAAATATATACTTCAAACTGGTAAACACTACATTTCATTTATTTTTATATACATATATATATATATATATATATATACATATATACACATATACATATATATATATACATATACATACATATATATATATATA